GACCCGGTACAAGTCGATCCGGGTCGACCTAAATCCGAAATAGACCCCAGGCGGGATGGTTCGGTGCCACTTGCTCTGTCCGATTTGGGCCGCCTGGCCCAACCAATAATTCACACTCCGACCCAACCCGATAAAAGTCGATCCGGGTCGACCCAAATCAAAAACAGTTTTGGGTGGGACGATTCGGCCTCCGCATGCTTTGCCCAATCTGGACCGTCCATCCGACAAATATCCACACAACCCAACCCGATTTAGCTACATTGACTCGGTCCGGGTCAGCCAATCCGGTCCCAAACCCGTGCACAAACCTGATGTGGTCCAATCCAAGTCAGTCCACCACTGACTGAACCGGTCTAGTCCAGTCCGGTCCAATCGGATTGATCCAGATCTAAACGGTTCAATCACCCTTGAAACTAAGTTGTTTAAGTTGGTCTGACCGGTTTGAACCTAAGTGGTTCGGTCAAACCCGAAATCCAAACATAGTCAAATGGCTTCGCCGCTTGTGTAAAAATAACATGCATTTAATGTGATTTGAACCTTCACCACTTATGTAAATAATAACTACAATAACCACCAAGCTACAACCAACTTATTTGTTAAGAGAGAGAGAGTTTGTTTTTTAAGTCCATAAATATAAGATTAATGGGTTTGGACGGGTTGGATTGGGTTAAAGCGGGTTTGGGTTGAACCCAACCCATTTAATTTTATATAGCTGGGTCATTAATGGGTTAGCGGGTTAGATGGGTTGGGTTGAAACTCAACCCAAACCCAACCCAACCCGCCCAATTGCCACCCTTAGTGGGAAGATTCTTAGTCTCAGTAAAGCTGAAGAATAATCAAAATGGATTTGAATGGGTCCTCACCAATGTTTACAGTCCAAATTCTTATAGGGAAAGAAATGCAATGTGCGAAGAATTAGCAAACACTAGAGGTTTGTGGGAAGGACCATGGTGCCTAGGGGGAGATTTTAATGTCATTAGGTTTGTGGATGAATCAAATGGAGGAAGACGGAGGGTTACTTCAAGTATTGAGAAATTCAATAACTTTATTGAGGCCTTTGAGCTAAGAGATTTCCCTCTAGGTCATTCCTGTTTTACTTGGTCCAATCTTCAAGCTAACCCTATTTGCTCTAGGCTGGACAGATTTTTATTGTTACTGGATTAGGAAGAATATTGGACAGGTTTGATGGGAAGAACATCACCTAGAATCACCTCAGATCACTGGCCATTCTACTTATTTAAGAGGTCTACTGTTGGAGGTCCAACCCCTTTAGATTTAAGAATATGTGGCTCACCCATCCGAAGTTCAAGGAAAAAGTTAAAGAGTGGTGGGACACCCAGAATCCACAACCTATTTGGGAAGGTCAGAAATTTCTGAAGAAGTTGTGATTCTTGAAAGGGGAAATTAGAGAGTGGAACAGAGTGAAGTTTGGGAGATTGGAAGAGAAAAAAAAGCTAGCCTGATATCACAAATTGAGGAAATTGATAGGACGGAGCTACAAGGTGCCTAGATCCTCACGAAAGGGAAAGGAGATGGTCATTGAAAGAGTTAGAGGCTACCCTGTTGAGAGAGGAGATAAGTTGGAAGTAGAAATCTATAGGGAAATGGATTAAGGAAGGTGATGGAAATACTAAATTCTTCCATGCTTTAGCAAAATGGTAGGAAGAGGAAAAGGTCAATTACTTCTTTATTGGTGGGGGGTACTGAGATCACAGATCAATGTGAAATTGCTAAGGCCTTTGCAAATCATTTCAAATAAATTTATCATATGCCAATCAACAAGAGGTGGTCTTTAGATGGACTTAAATTGGCATGTTTGGAAGAGAATCAAATCAAGTGGAGCTCTTTAAAAAAAAGGTTTGAGGAGGAAGAAATCAAAGAAGCAGTTTTCTCATTGGTCAGATCTAAGGCTCTTGGGCTTGATGGTTACACAATGGCTTTCTTTCAAGATTGTTGGAAGATAATTAAATTTTATTTGGTCAAAGTTTTTAGGGAATTCCACATAAAGGAAATAATCAGCCCAGGAATGAACTCCACCTTCTTAACCTTGATCCCAAAGAAGATAAAGGCTTCTCAACAAGGGGACTTTAGAACTATAAGCCTAGTGACCAGCATCTATAAGATTGTGGCTAAGGTTTTATCCCTAAGACTTAAAAAGGTGCTCCCCTCTCTCATATCCCAGTTCCAAGGGGCCTTTAATCAGGATAGTCAAATAATTTACCAAACCTTAATTGCTAAATTGCTAATGAATGTGTGGAGGCCTAGAAAAGGTTAAAGAAGAAGGGAGTAGCAATCAAATTGGATTTGGAGAAAGCCTATGATCTAGTGGACTGGGATTTCTTGATGGAGATTATGAGGAGGTGTGGCTTTGGGACTTTGTGGTGTAAATGGATCAGAGGGTGCCTACAAACAAGTCACTATTATGTTATTGTTAATGGCTCGGTAGTTGGTTTCTTTGAGGAACTTCGAGGTCTTAGACAAGGCAATCCACTTTCTCCCTTTCTCTTTACTTTGGTAGTTGAGGTCTTAAGCAAGTTGATTTCTAAGCAAATTCCTTACAGTTGTTTAAGGGATGGGTAATAGGAAGAGATAGAGTCTTGGTCTCCCATTTGCAGTTTGCAGATGATATCCTTGTTTTTTTGTGATGGGGATTGTAGAGATGGAGTGGAAAATCTGAAGCTAGTAGTGAAACTCTTTGAGAGGATATCCAATTTGAAAATTAACTGGTCTAAAAGTTTGTTGGCTGGTATCAATTTGAAAGATGATGATCTAATAGCAATGGCAGAATCTTTGGGTTGTGAGAAAGGAAATTGGCCCCTGAACTACTTGGGTTTACCCTTAGGTGGCAACCCTAGAATGACTAGTTTTTGGACCCCTGTGGTGGAAAGGTTTGAGAAGAGGTTAGCAAGATGGAAGAGGAATTATATATCTTGTTGGGAGGGAGAATTACTCTGATCAAATCCACTCTAGAAAACCTTCTTGTGTATTTCATGTCGGTTTTTAGGGTGCCCCAAGGTAAGAAAAACTGAAAAAATTATGAGAGGTTTTCTTTGGGAGCCTGGAGAAGGGAAGAAAGATCATTTAGTTAGACGGGAAAAGGTGATGCAATTGAAGGATGAAGGGGGTCTGGGTATTGGGAATATAAGGTTGAAGAATACGTCTTTGTTAAGTAAATGGCTTGGGAGATTCCCTGAAGAAAATGAGAAGTTGTGGCATAGAGTTATAACAAGTATCCATGGACTGTCAAACAATGGGTGGGACACGGGCTGCATGTACAAAGCTACTTAGGCTGCTCCTTGAAAGGCTTTTTTTTATCAACAGCTCCTTGGAAGGCTATCCATGACAATCTTCCTAGGTTCCTCACTCACATGGGCTGCATGCACAGAGCTACTTTTCACCTCTTAGTTTCCTATCCTTTTTGCTTTCTTTATTTAGGAGTGGTTTTATTCTCTTTATGGTTGCTTATGGATCCCCCTGATAGCTTGGAGGGACTCAGGGACTATTTAGCTCTCCTGTTTTTACTTGCTCTAAAACACGAGGCAAGATTTTGGGGAGATGCACTAGAGCAATGGTAGTTTGGACACTTTTGGAAGAAAGGAATCTAAGAACCTTTGAAGACAGGGAAAGAAGTAAGGAAGTTGTGATAGAAGTAATAACTTTAAGGGTGGCTCATTGGGTGAAAACTTTAAAGCTTTTTGCAGATTTTAAAGTTGAAGATTTTTTCAATTCGTGTGGTTCAATTGTTGTTTCTTCCTCCAAAAGACAGAATTATAGAGGCTTGGTCACCCCCACGTGCTAGGTGGAAGAAATTGAATTTTGATGGTAGTTGTATAGGTAATCCTGGCCCATCCAGTATAGGTGGGATAATTAGAGAAGAAAATGAAAACATCCTAGCAATGTATTCAAGTCCTATTCAACAAGGTTATGTGGTGAGATCAGAGCTAATGGCAGCAGTTTAAGTGGTGGAGAAGGATAAAGAAATGGGGATTGAGAGACTAATCATTAAGGGTGATTCAAAAATAGTTGTGGGCTAGCTAAAAAAGGGGGAAGGAATAACTTGGCAACTAAGGAATGAGTTCAGGCACTTCAAACAACTATCTAAAGATATGCTCATCCAAATAAGATGGATTAGAAGATCTGCAAATAGCATGGAAGATGGCCTATTTAAACAAGGAATTCAGAGACAATCCATGTTTTGGGCTTATTTGTAAATTTGGGATGGTTTTTGGGTTTGTTGTTTTTTCACAACCTCTTTTTTTTTATAACTGAATTATAATTTCATTAATAAGAGAAATATAAGCTGTTACAAGCATCCCTTGGAGAGGTGCGAGGTGCATCCTCTCCTAGACATTACCGTGAAAACAGAATAAACCAGAAAAAGTTACAGACCTGCCCAGAATAGCTCTTCCCTAAATACCCCTTGTTTGGCAAGAGAATCAGCGAAAGTATTTGCCGACCTACCCACCCATTGGACTCTAATTGTCATGTGTCCAGTTAACCATTTAAATTTTTTCATAAGATCCCTATAGGTCCAAGTAACTGAATTAGGGTTCTGCAGCCAACCCACAATCACCTTAGAGTCCCCTTCAATCAGTAACTTCTCTATCCCAAGTTGGTTGGCAATCTGAACTCATTTTATAGCAGCCAACAGTTCAGCCCTTGTAGAATGGCCCACTCTCACCGGGCTTGAAAGCAGAGATAAGATATTGCTTTCCTCAGATCTCAAGACCCCTCCAATCCTTGACAAACCTGGATTGCCTCGGCTACTCCCATAAAAGTTCAGTTTAATAAAACCTATTGTTGTATCTTTTTATTCTAAATTAATGAATCATTTTTTGTTTCCGATCAAAAAAAATTGCCTGCTAAGTCTTGTCAAGCATATTCATAAAAGCCACTAAATCCAAAAAAAAAGGTCAGATAGAAATGCTGAATTCCATGGTCATTGTATACAAAAGAACACCAACTATAACATTTACTTTTTCTTGCACAATTTCTCTTACCGCAACTTTTGCAAACAAGAAGTGCTGTTTTAATTTCTTCACAAATCAGAAACTGAATTCCATGGTGATTGCATACAAAGTTATGGGCATGATGAATGGGAAACAACCTGAAATTAAATCATAATACTGAGTAATGCAGGAATGGAAACTCTAAACAAGTGTCTTTGCAAACTAGGTTTGGTCATTTAGAGAAACTATGCCTAATATCCTGCTTACATATTTATCTCCATGTCACACCCTCTTTGCACACTGGGTTGCCCATTTTGAAAGTGACTCTATTGGACCTCCATAAGCTTTCAGAACAGATTACAAGGGATCCGTGTACTCTCTTTTCATATGTCAACTTTCAGCCTAGACCACTAACTTATTGCCACATGGGTTGTAAGGATCACCTCCACGGCTCCACCCATGGATTTCAGCAAAGATTGAGGAAAAAAAAGTTTGGAAAGACATGTTAACACTAGAGCAATAATTGGCCCATTCCTGGAGGTCATACGTCTGATCACGGGAAGGGACCAACCAGCCAATGAATCTGGAATAAAGAGAAAAAAAGAAGCCAAGGAATCTGAAAAAAAAAAATCGAAATGTTCAATTTTTTAATCCATAAAGTGGTGGAGTATGAATTCAGTCCTCACAGAGCCGTACCCACGCTTTGCTCACAGCCTTTTGGAGCCATTCATCTGAAACATATCTGTATTTGTATGTTTTTATCCATGGGGAGATATTCCAATGCACAGCTTCAAATGGCTGTGAGCATGGAGTGAGATGGTTCTGTGAGGACTGAATCCGAATTCAAAGCGGTGGATCATTTACAAAAGAAAAAATGAAGAAAAAAACATCCCATTAAATAACCAATAGTGAGTTGACCCTGGCTTGAAAGTTTGAAAAGTCGCAGTAGAGTCTTTGTTTGAAAAGTTGTCTAAAAACCTGGCTTGCAAGTTGGTTTTGATATTATGGATTTGTTTGTTTGTACAGACTCCCTCACCGTTTCTTTCAAAGAATACATTCATGGCAGACTTCATCAAGGAAATATCACAAGTAAAAAAATGAAAAGAAATTATTTAAGTTAGAATTTGGAAAGATATATGCAGGAAAAGAACTGCTAAAACAATGTTATGATATGACCATGAGATGATTGAAATAAAATCAACCATGCCAGAAAATAAAGCTCTGTTGCAGTAAAAATAAATAAGTAAAGCTCCGAGAAAAGCTTCATCTCCTTTCAGGGTTGTAGATTACAAAGTTTAATGGTTTAGATGTTGTCATCCATCAAGTTGATTGTTACCCATTTTACACAAACAGACACATAAGAAGCAAGGGGGAACATTGTTTCATGTACAACAGCTGCAGGGTCAACTCAAGCACCATAACCCCTGCTAGAGATGAAGCAAGAGATTAGATTTGAAAACATCCCTACCCATTAGACACTACCGCCGTGTATTTGAAAACATCCAAGTTTACATGCTTCAAGATTCAAGAACAAAGGTAAAAGGCCTAACCTTCTTGCAGATTTATCCGTTCGATTTGCTCAAATGATGTTCTGGGCTTCTCGTTACTCAACTGATAAGTCTTCACTCTTCAAACCAATCCAAGATGATTCGTTTTCTTTTTCAGTGGTCAAATGGAGAATGGAGAGAGAGACGGTGAGGGAAAAGAGACTACTCCGAGCGTGAGCTGCTGCTGAGTGAAGAAGAGCAACTCCAGCCTGATACGGTGATACACGGAGACGGATACGGTGAGACCAAGAAGCAGAGCCGCAGGCTGAGAATACCGAGAGCACCGGTCCCCTTTCGTTTTCTCTTTCGGTGGTAGAATGGAGATTGCAACGGGCATTTCGGTAGACGCTAGGATTTTGAGCAAAATGACCATTTTGGACATCTATTAATATAAAGGGTAAATTTCTTAAACTACCCTTATGATTTAGCGAATTGATTAAATGTACCCTTACTGATTGAAAATTGACTAATGCTACCCCTATTTTAATTGATTAATATTTCCCTTACCGTTAATACCCCTTAATTTCCCGTAAACAAAAAAAAGATAAAAGGACTAATTTTCCCTTTAGATTTGTATCTCTCTCAACCCTTATTTCTCTCTCATTTTTCCCATCGTTGTTGGGTTCACGAACATAGTAACAGAACACACAAGAAATTTGCCACTATTTTACTTTGTGTTTTAGCCGGACCAAGCGATGGAGAGCAGTGGCGAATCTACCAGCTTTCGGAGAGCTTCAGCAAGACGAACAGGGGGAGATCCGTTGCTGCTCAATCTCCCGCTTAAGAGAGAGGGAGAGAGAGAGAGAGAGACGGAGACAGAGAGAGAGGGCAGATTTGTTGTTGTTGTCGCAATCTCCATTTCTGCAGAAGATGATGATGATGACAATGATGAAGAAAGGGCATTTCTAATGTATTATGGTTGTAGTTGATTTGTTGTCGAGCTTTTGTTTTCCTATGGTGTTAGACAGAATCCAATTGTAAGATTGACCCAAAAGCTTTGAAGCGATGAGTTGTCACTTTTTGTATCATTAGGTTTGATCTTGAGTAGGGTCAAGTCATTGAGTGTTACCCACTGGATGAGAGGCTAAAGCGAGGAAGAGAGCAAAAGTCAGTGGTCATTTTGTCTTACTATCTGTTCTCGAGTGTGTTCATGTCCTTTGTTTTTTTACATTGGTAAGAGAGCTCTGGAGCAGAATGCTTCTTGCGTCTCAGCATGGCCTGCTCTTGTACCAGGTAAACTAATGGAACTTCTTATAGGGAATGCTACGCTTAAAGTAAACCTGTTGCCTGCTCATAGCTTGCCATTGGAGTGGGGGATCGTGTCAGATGAGTCTTTCTCCTCTATGGCTCCTTCTCTTCTTACAAACCAATCAATCCCACAGGGTCTTCCAAGAGAAGAGAACGAATGAAATGTAGCATACTAGGCACAGACACTGAGAGAGAGAGAGAGAGAAAGAGAAATGTTCTCTCATTTCGTTCCTTCTCGTGTTGATACATTGATGTAGAAGCCGGTGTTGGTTTCGAAGATAACCAACTTCAAGCTCCCTCTCTCTCCTTCTCGAGTTGATACCAAAATCGTATCTCCAAAATGAAAAGGGTATTTTTGAACATAAAAGGGTAAATTGGGTATTTTTGAAGTTATAACAATCACATGATGGCACATGTGAGCAGTTTATGATGGAACATTAACGATAAGGGAAGTATTAGTTAATTGTTAGAAACAGTAGGGTAGCATTAGCCAATTTTCAAACAATAAGGGTACACTTAGTCAATTTGCTAAACCATATAGGTAGTTTGGGGAATTTACCCTAATATAAATAGAATAAATTACAAAGACCTACCCCATGTAGTTTTTTTCACCACAAATACCCCCTGAGCTGTGGTCGTTAGAGAATTACCAGTCTGTTAGTGTTCTGTCAGTGAAAGAGATTCACATTTGACTGTTTAAAGTTTTTTAAATACCAAGTTATCCTTTTTTTCTAAAATCAAAGATAGGTCATAAGACTCTTAGACTTTCAAAGTTAAAAAAAAAATAAAAAAGAAAATATGAGGGTGTTTGGAACCATGCGCATTTATTAAATAAACACTGCCACATAAGCACTAGTTAAGCATTTGCCCAATTATGTGAATCCGTACATAGAGACTTGCAAAAGTAGGCTTTGGTTTATTCACTATTTCAACACCTACTGTTGATTGTAGCACTTCCCCCAATGAATAGGCATTTATTCACTACTTTGCTAATGTGGTGCCTAAGTGTCAATAAATTGGTATTATTGCTTTTATCGATTTTCTAAACAGATCAAATACGTTTAGTAAATAAACATCCATAGTTCCAAACACCTACTATGTGTCTATTACCCAAAGTGAGACTTGAAAAGTGTTATGGGTTGGGGAGGAACTAAAGAGATAGGACTCTGCTCTCTTCACAGCTCAACGAATAGAAGAGTAAAGCAATTCACTTGCTTAAATAGAGACAAAAAGCAGGAAGAAGCGTAAAAATGAACAACTTGCATGAGTTCTCAAGCTTTATCTGAAAGCTCTGAGTATAAAAATGATAACGCAACCAATTTAACGACCATGTTAAGGAGTTCCTGACAATAGAAAATAAGACCAGCAATGAAGTTCACAAAGCTTGGGTCTCACCCCAATACCTTATTTGCCATTGAGGATGTAAGGTAAGAGTGGAAGTGTGGAACAAAATAATATTGCATTTTTTCTTCAAAAGTATAAGTACTTTCCAGAGATACAAGAGTTTGAGGCCTTTCTTCCCTAAGTGCAGGATTGTCTCCATTAGCCAAGAATTGAACCTGGGTCTGTACTGTGGCAGCATGCTATTCCACCACAAGACTGTTGGTGCTTATTATTTAAGGACAATAAATATACCTAACTCAACCATATACTTGACTGAATAGAGTAAATTGTTAAACAAGCCGTTTTTTGCTAAAACATTGTTCTAGTACTATTTTAAAATAATAAAATCAAGCCTTTGAGGTATTTTCATGGCCCCATCTTAAATTATATGAAATGACACCTTGTTGGGACCACAATAGTACATCTAAAGCCCCTTGATTTTGTGTTGCATTGATGGATTGTTTGGTTGTCATGAAGCATAAACACAAAGCCCAACTATAGACGGTATGAACAACAAGGTTGATGGTGCTATGAACGGAGTCGAAACAAGTGCATATGCTACCTAAAGATGACGAGCCGAGGATTAACAATATTGAATTGAATGAAAATGAGCCGAGGATTAACAAAATTCCACCTATTTCAACAATTATTGATTGTAGAGATTCAACTCATCACTACTCATCTTTTGTATTTCATAACCCATCTATCTCTTCTCTCCATTGTTGCATCGCCTTATTTTTAAACATTAAATTTAGTTTAGCATCAGCTATTAGATCATATGTCTTGAAAACCTATAAACATGGAATGTGGGTAATGGTCTTTATAAACGAAAGTTGTTTAGTTTTTAACTATTGCAACATGTGTCCTGTGAAATAGAGTTCGACTTACAAATTGAACAAATCCTTTTTAATGCAACTAACAAACTCTTCACCATTGTTTTTCACTGTGTGTTCGAGCTTCATGAAAACTTTGCGTTTGGGCAAAATTCTTGATGCATTGTCAAACATTGGGTTCGAAAAGAAAAATGCAATATTTGGTTCCATTGCACATTGATTTGAAATTTTATAACATAATTGTCGCTCCCAGTCTCAGTTCCCCGATTCTCTGTGACAAAAGGGTTAGGGATTTTTAAAAAATGTATCAGTAATGTGATGTCACATGTTAACGGTTTATGATAAATAATTAACAGTAAATGAGGTTTTAGACAATTGTCAAAAACAATAAAGGTATTTTAATATAATATGTAAATAATAAGGGTGAGTAAGTCTATTAGCTAAACCATAAGGATAGTTTAAGAAATTTACCCTAATAATAAAAATGATAATCATTACCATTATTATTATTAATATTATTATTATTGTTGTTGTTGTTATAGATAAAAGCAACTAAATTGTTTCTTTTCTTCTAAATTGGCTTTTTACATGAAATGTAAAATATTTATAATTGTTAATTGATTAGTTATTATTTTATTTAATGGTTAAAGGCTTAAACTTATTGCTTAATAATTTATAATTTATGGATATATGTACTCTCTATCATTTTAATTTGGCACATTATATGTTATTTTCAATAATTTATAAACTTCTAATTAATTTTTCCTTAAGTTTTTCGATTTTCGCCTTGCAATGCGTTTAGGCTTATGTTTTACCTTTTCCAGGCCATTACACCTTAACCACACCTTTAGCCTTTTAAAATATTGTGGATATATGAATAATTTTCACTTTGTATGGTCCAATTAAGGTGTAAAAAACAATATTGAAAACAATTTTGTAATGAATCATTAATTGATGAAAATGAATATCTTATTTATTTACAAATGAATGATGGGTGTATTGTTTGTGGGGGAATTCTTTAAGTTGACAATAGAAGAGTTGTACTTTATAATAAAAATCTATCTATAAAATACAATGCTCATAAATTCAAAGATGTGTAGCAACAATAATAACATCAGAGATGTGTACACTTTAGCCTGTTCGTTTGATCTGATGTTTGGCATCTAAAAGTGCAATAATTACATTAAGAGGTATATTGATATTAGTGAACTTTTTATTCCTCTAAACTCTGAATGCAATGAATGTTGTTCTGAATTTTGAAATTTGTCAAATGTCTATTTTAACCCCATATATGAGAACTTTTGTTTGCCTTTTTGGGGTATCATTAGAAAACAAAAAATTATAAAATTCCACTTTAACGGATAAGAGATAAGAGAAAACGAACACCCATTTTCCTCTTATAGTTATAAGATTTTTCTCAAGAGATAAGAGTTAAGAGGAAATTAACAGAACCTTACTTATTGTATAATGTGATGAATGTATAATATTAGGGATGTCACTTAATTTTCATATAAACTTATTTGTTCTATAAATGTTACTATTCATGCAATTTGTTGTACTTTTTATACTTTTGTATGTTTTCATTTTTTATTTATTTATTATTATTTAATTATGACATTAAATATTTATACATTTGACCCGTGATTTTGAATTGTTGGCTCACCACCAAATATGAAACAATTGAATTTTCTATGTTAGTTTGAAATTTGTATTTTATTTCTATTTATATGAAATGATTATTCTTTGTGGCACTTATTTTTTTAATATTAATATACAATTCAATGAATGAATGTAAGTTAATACCATAAACATATAACTCAAAGGGAATTGAATGAGGAGAAATATAGTAATTCAAATTATACTTTGTGCCCCCACAATTAGAGAGACCAAATACAAAATTGGTTGAATGATGAGAAAATTGTTGTTGAACTTAAAATTCTATCAGTATAATAAGAGAGACACTAAATTAAAAAATTGAGATATGTTAGTCAAATAAAAGTTCCAAACTCTAATTTACACTTTTAATAATAGTATAGATAATATAGATTTTTTTTCATTTTTTACTATTTAATTGTGATTTTATGGATTAACCTGGACTATTGAATTCCCAAACCATTTATCGAATGGAAAACATTTTCTTTATTGAGATAATTGCAAAATTTGTATTACGTTCCACTATCAATAAAATTAATTACCATTTATTATATTTATTTTCTTTAATATGATGGCCATAGAATATAAGAGACGTGACATTTTTTTGTTAAAATTTTGTATTTTTGTTTTTTTATAGTTTTATTTCTTATTATTTAATTATAACAACATGGGTTGACCCATTTAGTTTTACATATTATATTTCAATATATCATTAATAGAAATAATCACTATTTATCATACTTATTTTTTTAGTATAAATTAATATATAATATTAGATACCTGTCTAAAATTTTCTCTTTTGATATAATTTTTTGTATTTTTTATTTTTTAAAACATATTATTTAAGGGAAAAATTATGATCAATACCCTGTTCTTTGGCTTGGGTGACAATTTGGCCCTCGAACTTTAAAATTCGACAATCCAATACTTGGACTTCCGAAATGTGACAATTTGGTACCTACCATTTAATGGACCATTAATTAGCGACATCATGTGACAGTATATGCAGATTAAATAATTTAAAAAACCAAATGTACCCTTGTTGATAATTTTTTGACCATTTGACCATTTCTGTTTAAACAAATAAAAGAATGGGAAAAGGCTCTTTCATCTTCAGTTATAGGTTGGAAGATCAACAAAGGAGGATCTCCAATCCCCATTGAAAATGGCTCACAGAGAAAGGTTATTGTAGTGGGGGTTATTTTTATAATTTAAAAAACGAATCAAGCTTAGTTGTAAAAAATGAGATGGGTATTTACATCTTTGTACGCGTTGGTTTACGGTTTGTTAACAATAGGTACCGGATTGTCAAATTTCGAAAGTTTAGGTACTGGATTGTCACATTTTAAAGTTCGGGGACCAAATTGTCCCTCGAGTCAAAGTACAAGGTACTGATTGATAATTTTCCCATTATTTAACTATGACATCATGGGTTTATCAAATGATTCGAATAATTGCAGCATTGACCCACTCCTCAAGGGGGGAAATGGTTTCATTTAATGATCAATTTTAAATTTTGTATCCCATTTCCATCATTAATAAAATACTTTTTATTTATCACATCTATTTTTTTTTAGTATGACAAATATACAATATTAGAGATGTTCCTTTTTTTTTAATTTATGCATTTTTGTATTTGTTGTATTTAATTATGGATTGGTGGATTCGTCTATCCCAAATGGTAAATAGAAGATTCCATGAGAGACAAAGAGGATTAATAATAAGGGAATGAGATGCATTAAAAAGTAATATCCAAATTACAATTTATGCCCTCATAATGGAGATCCACGAAATTCAATAGAAGATATATTATATTTATTCTATGCTAAAAATTTCATAAGCCATGAATATTTGAATATGATTTGTCATGTCTTATAGGATATACGGATCCAATATAAACAGATCATGAATCAAATAGGGCTGAATCACAAATTCTATCCATTTGCATCCTTAATTTTGCAATTCCAATCAATCATTAATCAACCCTGAAAAAAGCAATAAGTAGAAGGCGATTGGGTCATTAGGGTTCGTATAAACTATAAAGGAACTGTGGCCTCGTGGGCCTATTTTCAACGAAATCAAATAGACACGAGTACAACTATTGATTAAAATATCAATATAGTACGCCTGATGGGCATATCATATCGGTGTCGAGTCGGTATATGAAAGCGCATAAACCTCTCTTTGACAACAACTAACATGATTTGAACCCAATACCAAAACTCACCTAGCACCCAAGAACAATGCATTTTTAAATACTAAGCCAATTTTTATTTCATGCCAATAAATGGAATATATTAACTTTTACTACTTAATATCAACATAAAATCCCAACAACCAATATACACTTATTTTCAACAACTCCAATTACAAATTAAAAAGAATAACATTTAAAGTTAATATTTTATAAACCAATTAAATAAATAATTTATCAAATCCACATTTGTATCAAAAAGTTGATTTTTAATTTAAAGAAATTTTAAAATATTAATAATAGAATAGTTATTTTAATACTTAAAATTTACTAATTTGCACATGATATATATCTTAAATTTTTTCATAGATTACTAATTAATATTTTAATTTGCATTAAGTAACCATGTATTTATTATTTATAAAAATAAAAATATTATTTATAAAATGTTTAAAAATATAATATAAATTGAATCTATCAAATCCACTAATCTATATTTATATTAAAAAATTATTTTTATTTAGAAATTTATAAAAACATATCAATAATGAAATAATTATTATAGTAATTAAAATTTATGAGTTTTCATATAATATGTATCTTTGAAATTTAAATAGATTTGATATATTTTTTAGTTAGGATTATATATTTTTATAAATTATCAATTAATGTTGATTTGCATTTCATAATAACATATTTATTGTTTATAAAAATGAAAATATTGTTACCAAAATTTTGAGAATTAATTTTAATTAAAAATTTGTTTAATGTTAAAGTTTATTAGTAAAATAGAAAAAAATGATACAATAATTGAAATATAATAATTGCATATGTTTTGTGCCTTAGACTTTAATATAAAATAAGATAATAATGGATTTGTGCATGTATTAATTTATAAAAAATGTATATAATATGTTTTTTGGAATCTTGATTGATGCATATTAATAAAATTATATGATATTTATGTATTCTATTATATTAATAGTAATATGTTTTCTTCATATATATCATTAAAATATATATTTGTTATGTATTTATATATTATTTATAATTATTTTGATATTAAACCTATTATTAATAATATATTTATAAAATTAATACTCATTTTATAGCATATCTAATTGTTTTTATGTTTTTAATCCATGCGTTTCCAATACGCATTCGTATTCGAATTTTCTTCAATACGGATGGATACTTTAATCCTATCTTTTTTTTTAGAAAATCCTATCCGATACAATACCATTACTTTAATCCTTCAGCAATCAGCACCAGTGAAGCCGATTTCACCAAACTGTAATTTTATTGATAACGAAGGGTGATTTGCTTTTCCTTCTCCACAGTGGTGTGCCCAACTTCCCGCGGCCTAATACGATCCTCTCCCCAAACCCCAAATTAAAAAGAGAAGAAAAACTGAAACAGAACGAGAAAGGGAGAAGACCCTTTATCAAACCTTTTTATTCCTTTGTCCTTCGAACCCTAACTCGTTCTATCTCTTGAGTCATGAAAATTTTTAAACGCTCGAACGTAACTCTTAGTGATTTGTATATCTGAATCAAACTTGCTCAGAATCGATAGACTCTAGGGTTTACTTTCCGCTGCCCGATTCGTAAAGATGTCCCTTCCTCCCATAGAGTGTAAATACGTTACAGAGGAGTGTCTCCGGGAATGGAAGAATGGGAACACCAATTTCAAGGTACCGAACCCGGTCCCGGCGCTTCGGTTTCTCTACGAGCTCTGCTGGGCTATGGTGTGTTCCTCTACTCTTTCGTAATACAAAATTTTTCCCCATGTAAAATTGTATCTTTAATGCTAACTTACTTATCTATGCATGTGGATTTGATTGTGAATTGTTTTGTTAGGTTCGTGGAGAATTACCGTTTCCGAAGTGTAAAGCAGCATTGGATTCAGTTGAATTTTCTGAGAAAATTTCGAGTGAAGAAATGGGTTCAAATTTAGCAGATATAGTGACCCAAATGGCTCAAGATGTGAGTTCCCTTTTTCTCATCCCCTACTCAATTGCTTGATCACAAAAGCGGAATGCCAATGTTTGCAGTTTGTTTTCTCTTTTAGTGTTTACATGTTTTCTAATGTTGGTTTTTAGACCCATTACTTCAAAAGACAATGGAGAACTCATACAACAGCCCATGGAGAGGCACAAGCTGTAGCCTCTCTCAACTGATTACAAAGTAACTTAAAAGAAAAAGACAAGCATTACAGCTGAGCCCAAAACAAGACTTCCCTATTTGCCCCTTGCTTAGCTAAGCCATCAGCCAAAGCATTTGCTAATCTCCCCACCCATAGTGTACTAACAGACATGTTCCTTGTCAGCCACATAAATTTTTTGACTTCATTTCTGTGGCACCATAACAACTATCCCACCACCACCCTGGAGTCCCCTTCAATAATAAGCTGCCCTACATCCAATTGATTTGCAAATGGCTGCTAATAGTTCTTCTCTGATTGAATCTCCAAATCCCAAAGGACTTTAATAGAGAAGTACAATATCTCCAACCTCCCCCCCCATTCTAGAGCGCCTTGGATTGCCCCGGCTGCTCCCATCAAAATTCAGCTTCATTGAGCCTTCAAGCGGTGGAATCCATCTTGTAATTGCCTTAGTCTTCCTAGATGAGCACTTTGCTACTGTTGACCAATTTCTCCGTTAAGTTTGAAAGGGAAAAGTGATGGAACTGTTCCAAACTCTTTAGTCCATGGATTGTCCTATTCAACACACGATCTTTCAGATCTTGGCTGCTCCTCTCCTTGTCTTAGAAGATCTTGGAATTCCTTTCTTCCCAAATTGTCCATAGCAAGGCAGCACTAGCACATATCCACACGATTTTCTCTCTTTTTTTGGGCCAATTGAAGGTAGAAGGGTTAAAGATCATGCACACTTCTGCTGACATGTTCTACCTGCACCTAAACAACGAAAAAAAGCCAATTCCATAATTCTGTAGAAGAATGGCAAGACATTAGTAGGTGGTGACAGTCCTCCCCGTGAGTTCTACAGAGAGTACACTAGTTGGGTGAAATACAAAGGAAATGTCTTCTCTTAGGTTATCTAAAGTGTTCACTTTCCCATGATACACTTCCCAACAAAGAGTCATTATCTTAGGGGGAACCGGCCTACACCAAATTTCCTTTGAAGGGAAAATCTATTGAAAGGAAAACTAACAAAGGGACTTAAAAAAAGAAGAACAAGAGAAGATCCCTTTGGACCGGTGAACCCAAATCCTATTGTCTGGCTTGGACGGATCCAAACAGACTTGATTCAAGAGACAAATCAAATTGGAGAGAGAATTGATTTCCTCATCCCTTAACCAGTGTTTTAAAAGTGTAGGGCGCAAAAAAAGCGCAAGGGCCAATTTGCGCTTGAGGCACAAGGCGAGGCGCGCGCCTTTTTAAGCAAGGTGCAAAATTACAAAAAAAGGTAAAAATTAAAAAAGTCAGAAAATTCAAAGAAAAGCCAAAAAATAAAAAAATGCAAAAAATTCAAAAACATTAAACATAATATTAATAAAAAGTATAAACTTAAATTTTAAAATAAATGTTTTAAAAAACCTATTATCTAAAATTAAAATACATAAACATAACATGTAAAGCGTATTCAAATGAAAATTTAAAAACAAAAGCAAACATATAAAGTATTTTCAAGCATGTAAAACCCACAATTTCTTTTTCTCGTTAATTGCATTGCTTCAAGTAGCTACTGTGATGTAAAACATTTTGCTTCAAGCGCAAAATTTTAAAAAGGCGCACGTTTGGGCTGAGGCGCAAGGCACATCAGGCGCACTAGGCGTGCGCCTTTTGAAAGGGGTGCACCTAGGACCTGGGCGAGGCACATACCCCAAAATGCGCCTCACCTGTCCGCCTAGGCACGCCTCAGGTGCACCTTTTAAATCACTTACCTTAACCCCCTATGAAAACCAAAATCCCAATGTGGAGCCAAAGGGGTTCCCTGAAGGGTGATAAAGTTTGAGATGACCTCATTTTTATACAAAGAGACAAAGAAAAGTGAAGGGAAAAGGTTCTTTAAAGGAAATTTTCTGACCCAAATGTCTTCCTACAACTGACAATGTTCCCAAAACAAGCATCATACTTGACAAACCTGAGAAACCGAGGAAGAACATTGTGAATGGCTTTCCAAGGTGTTGTCAAAGTAGACTGCCTTGATACACCAGCATTCCCCACCCATTCTCTAAACTACCATGAATGCTTCTCACCACTTCATGCCATAATCTTTCTCTCTCTCTCTCTCTCTCTCTCCCTCTCCAAAGGCCACTGCCACAACTACTTTGTCAACAGCGCTAGGTTTTTCTGAATCACCTTTCCTAGACCCAACCCTCCCTCCTCTTTATTTCTACACACAATTTCCCACTTATTTTCTTTCTGTCTTTAGGATACCACCTAGGGAATTTCAGGGGGTATTTTACATCATAGAGCCAGCCCATTGCTACTCTCCGCAAAAGTTCTAGAAGGAACCAGAGGTACAAGCAGTACCTCATTTAAATGGAAATGTACTCCCAACTCAATTCCTGTCTAGGAATTCCTTCACTAGCTACCTTCCCTGATCTGATGTTGTGGATGCCATAGACCAGCTGCTACTTGTTTCAGCCAACCGATTTTTTTTTTTTAAAGTCTTCTTCCGCAACCAGATTTGCGTATGCCATTGATAAAAAAAAAGAAAAAACAGATTTTCATATGCCATTGAATTTGCCGGTCTTAGTCCTTGCAGTGCCACTAAGAATTTCACTTTAATTGAGCTTTGTTTTGATAGATAATAGTGGTTTTATTAATTAAAAAAGCACAGTATACATCTTACAACTCCCCACAAAGAGGTGCAAGGTGCAACCTCTAAACTATATCATAAAGCTTACAAGTGAGCCCAAAAGAGCTGATTCCTATGTGCCCCTTGTTTGGCTAGAAAATCTGCTAGCCCATTTGCCGATCTTCTTTCCCATTGACTGTGACTGAGGTATTTGATGTTAGCCACTTAAATCTTCTCAAAACCCCCCTGTAGGTCCAGGCTGCAATCTCCGGCTCTTTTAGCCATCCAATAACCAATTTAATTCACGTTAAATGAGCTTCATTCTCTTATTGAGCCCGAGTAAGCCACCGGGATATCACCTTAATGATTTCTGATTGTCCTGCCTATTCTGATTGTCTAGGATCTTCAATGCTGTTTCCATCAAAATTTAGCTTTAACATGTTCTGCAGTGAAGGATGACCAATCTGGTGCGTTTCTATCCCTTCACGTGAGCATTTATGCCACCATAAGCCATCTTATTGGATGCCATCCATGAAGAAAATAAAAAAGTCCTTCCTTGTCTTTATCCAGTGAATGATTCTGATTTTTGTCAAGCCTGTTATACCCTCCACGGTTCCACCACAAGAGATTGATCAAGAAATATCCTGCTCCTTTTGTTCATCCTATGAGGTCTATGGAGTTTCTGCATGTATGCATCTTCACAGGATGCACTTTAGATTCATGTTGACACTTTCTCCTTATCGTGTTATTGTTAGCTGCTCGGAACTTGGCATTGCCTTGTTTGCTGGCAAGTACCATACTTGTATAAAGTTGTTACTTTCTGGAGAGGGCCCATAAAAATGCTTAGGAAGCAATACCTGAGTACTTCTGCATGGATTCCTTCTGGGGTCAAACTAGCAAAACTTTTTGATGGTCATTTGGGATCTGCCTTGGTTACAGACAAAGGTGGGAAAGTATATATGGTGATTGGAATCTAAACAGTAAATATTCTGGCATGAACTAAGAGGTTGAAACAATTCTTAGGTTGTATTGTTGCATGTATTACCAGAATGAAATAAGGCAAATAAGAAGTAACAGAAAGGGTAAGGGTTCTAGTTGCATTTTGGGCAATTTTAGTTTCTATGGATTTTGTTATTCCTAGCCTTAGGTCGTGTTTTCTGTATATTTTATCTTGTAAAATTTGGTTGATACATCTTGAAGGCTTAATGGCTTAATCAATAAAATATCGGGTTCAATAGGAGAGGGGGATTCCCTAATGGCTCAGTTGATAGCTGTCATACAAGGTGTGCAGCAGGCTAGCGATGCAAATGAGTGAAATGATTATCAAAGGTGCAGGTAGTGATTGGATGGCTGCTGAATAGTGAGAGAGCTTTATGAATTTATAGGTATGAATTAAAAAAAAATTAAATGGCTGATTATGGGCATGCAAGTGAAAATTCAATGTTTGCAAAGATCGGCTAATTGCATGACTGATGTATTAACCAAACAAGGGGCAGTTAGGGACTGATTTTTTTTGGGCTCGGTTGTCAAATGAAATTAAAGGGTGGGGTATTGATTCTCAAGAGTGTATGTAAATCATGTATATAACTGCTGTTTATAATTAATGAAATTTACTGAAAAAGCTTAACCCATAAAAAGACATTTGGGGACTCATAAAAAAAAAATTGGGGGTTGCAATGTGCCAATGGTATTGCCACAACAATGTGGATCAGCGATACAATCAAGCCCTATTGCCTTATACTGTGCTATTTGAGATAATTTCTCTTGTTAAATTCCTTATGGGTTCAATAATTTGTGGTATTTCCACCAAAAACATTGGCTTTGCATTCAACTACATTGCTAAAAAGCTCCAAAATCCTGGTTCTATCACATTAAACCCCTTTGAACAGAAAACAGAAAAGAAGTGGGTGAGAAAAGGTATACACCTTGTTGATTCATATGAGGTCAGGTGGATGGAGGTTTTAGGCTTTTGGGAAGTAGGTGATATGTTTTGACAGTGTAAGGTGGGAGGTGAAGTTAGGGGGAGGAAGAAGATGATAATAGATTCAGAAGTTGAGTGACAATAAAGAAGTTTGGATTGGTTTTGATGTTTTTTTTTGTTTTATTTTTTGGGTTGGGTGAGTTGGTTTCTAATTTTCTATGGATTGATTGGAGGTTATTAGACCTGTTCATTGGCTGGGCTTTGGGCTCAACCCATGGACGTTTTACACTGCTTCTGGCTCCATTCAAATATTGGCAAAAGCTCAACTCGATCCCAGCCCATGAACATGTCTAGAGGTTGTGGTTTTTATTAGTGCATAGTGTTTCTTTATCCTCTCAGGTGATTCCTTATCACCTTCTATTGTACTTTCTGTTTTCTTTTTCAATAATTTTTGTTTTAATATAAAGGGACAAAAAAGTTTACAAGCCTTTGCAGATTGAGATCTTTCTAAAATTGAGAATACATAAGAGGTGTTTTTTTTTTTTTTCAATTGCTTATAGATTAGTTAGCTTAGTGTTGATGGCTTAAACTTTTGGTGCCTCTCATGTACATCTCTATCTTTCTGGTTGAATGAAAACGTTACCTTTTCTAAAAATAAAGAACGGAATATTGTGTTGTTGAATTTACTTTTGAGAGTATGGTTTTATGTATCACATTATATGAAAGGCCTATTTTCATCTTTCTTACTCATGGGATTGCATATTTTGCAGCTTACTCTGCCTGGAGAGCATCGTGCTCGCCTTATCAAAATGGTACATTATCTAATTTCACAACGTTTGCATGTTCTGTAAGTTTTTAAATTGTATTTTACCAAAATTTGCTTTATGTTTGTTTTTTATGCAAAAGACGACGGGCAATGTTAATATACATTTTTTTTCATCGTGTACTGTCAAATGTTATTAGATATGTAAAAAAAATGTCTATGCATGCAAAAGATTGCTTGCCAAGCATCAGAACCCCTGGTAGCCCCTGCAACCACCCAAAAAATACACCCTTTAGAGAAACATGCTAGTTAATGGTCTCCAATGGTAGCTCTCCGTTATGCATTTTTTGAAGAACAATAAGAAAACTCATTAAACAGAAAAAAATGGATACAATCCAAAGATGATAGGTGACAAGATGGCACCTAGCAATACAAAGCAAAAATAACTCTGGTCTAGAATACATAGACTGATGCAGAAACTGAAATAAATTACACAGATTGAATTTCCAACACACTCCAGAATTTCTCCCCCAAGTATTATCTACTACTAGCTTGATCAAAATTTGGAAGCACTCAAACGGCCAAACCCAATCCGCTACTAGCTTCCGCACCAGAGCACCCAGAGTTTTAGTACTTTTACCTTTGTTTTCGAAAAGCCTTCTATTCCTTTCATTCCACAGGACCCAACACACACCAAAGGGGATGCGTCTCCAAACTATCCTTGCTTTCCTGCTTCCTCCAAATCTTGGCGAAGAAGAAAAAATTTCTGCTGTTCACCTTGGCTGAAATCAGCATGATATTAATGTACTGTTTTTGTGTTATCTAAGAGTTTGAGATTTCTAATGTACATTTTTCTATCATCCAAATATTTTAACATGTTTGTATTTGGGGTCATATAGTGAACTGGTTGTTTAAGTGTAGGAAATGTGGCAAACCATGGGGCACTAGACTGTCTACAAATCTTGTGTCCCAAAGCCTGAGCTTTGGCTTTATATTTGGCTGCAAATATTGGTCTGTAAGCAATAGTAAATGTTCAGTGAAACATATGTATTTTCTTGTGCTCCTTTATTCTTTTTTCAGTTTTTGTCTTCTTCCCTACTCCCATTCGTTTGTCATGTTCAATTGATTGGATATCATTACCATCACATTGTTGTGCATGTTATGGGTGCTTATAAATCTTCCATTTTTTTCTTGGTATCTTTCATCATATTTCTCTCATTCAGGCAAAATGGCTACTGGAGTCTACACTGGTCCCATTGAGGCTTTTCCAGGAACGATGCGAGGTAACTATTCCTCTTTTTTGAGTTAAATAGTCTTTTTAGGCATTGTGTTTTGCTTCTTCTCAATTCATTTGTTTATTTTTTAATATGTTCTAGGAAGAATTTCTATGGGAGTCTGAAATGATCAAGATAAAGGCCCAGGATTTAAAGGCAAAAGAGGTATCAGATTAATAACTTCACATTTTAGTTTCATTTGTGATTTTTATTGACAGGGACTTTCACTGCATGATTTACATGTTGATTGGGGAAAGTATGTACTAGTCGTCTTTGATACAACATCATGAGGGTGCACTTGTGAGTTGTTGTGATCCTCAGAGATTTTTGAGGTTCTTAATGGCTCAATTGATGCAGTTCCTTGTGTTATGTACAACTGTTTCAACTCTGTCTACTCTTTGAGAACAAAATTCAAACATGGATATTTCTGCATAATGTTGGAAGAATGCTAAAATGGTCTTGGCTTTGGAGAGGTACTTCTACCATCCTAATACTAGTGCAAACTACAACCTGGGTTCAAACCCCTCCACCCATCCCCATCCCCACCCCTTAAAATACCTTTGATGCACATTAAGTGACAACTAGGAGACAGAATTAGGATCCTGTATAGCAACAGCGATATATACATTTTAGATATACATACAGGCATGCCAATGTGCCCATTTGTTGGATTGTTAAATTCATATTAAAGTTCATATCTTGATATCTTAACTATGACCTGATGATGTGACAAGGATATGGTGCTATGTTTCAATGCAGATGTAGGGTGTTGGATATAGTAAATAAAAAATTAGGAAATCTGAACAAAACTGTATGCTTATAAGCAAAGTTTACTAATATGTGCTTATGGTGCAATTGTTTTTATCATTACCAAAGAACCATGCTTATGGGTGTGTGTCCTTGTGTGCATTTTGTTAGTTACCAAATGATAAAGGAACATAGTGGGCTTTACATACTGTCAACTAATAGGAAAGAGAGTAGTAAATCAAGAAGAAAATAAGAAGAAATAGAGAAAACACCAAGGTTTAACTTGGTTTGGCTCGTTAGTCTACATCTATGGGAAGAGAGGGAAAAATGTCCACTATGAGAACAAGAGGTACATGACTGAACTCTCTGTAGACTCACAACAAAATATCCACTCTCACTCAACCCTAACCCCATACAACCAATGGCTTTAATAAGCAAAAGACCCACTTATATCAAAATTTCACACGAGCCCTTCTTCCTCCCATAAATACATGCAGGTCCCCAAAATTCATCAACATTACAAATATACCCTGTAACCTCCAACACCTTCCTTGAAAGAAAACTCAAATACGACCAAATACAATACTATCTCTCTACACCCTCCCTCAAACTCAAGTTGGGGAAACCAGTTTGAGTTTGCAAGTAAGGATGTTGAAGCAACCTCCATGAAAATAGGTGTATTGTTGAAGCAACCTACATAAAAATAGGTGTATTGTTGAAGTAACAACCATGAAACTTGGGATGCTGAAGGGGCCTCTTAGAAAATAGAAACCAAAGTTGGATGTTAGAAAGCTGAATGAACTCATGTTGGAAAGCCAAGTAGAGCCAAGTCATGATATAGTAATCACCAAATTGAAGCTGGCCAATAGAAAACCAACACATATCATGCCAAAGAATCAAAGTTTGCCATCAAAAGGCCAATCACAATCACCGAATTGAAGAACCATGTCCAACAACTAGATAATTAAAAATTCCAATAAAATCACCAAAACATAGTTGGCTAGCGGAAAGCCAACTAAGGTGAACTTCATAAACCAACACAAAGAATCATAGTTGGCCAACAGAAAGTCAATTATGAACTCCATAAACCAAATCGAGGAATTGGAGGTGGTCAATCGGAAAACCAACTATATAAAGTGAATCAAAATCCCATGCCACCTAAGGAGATCAAAACTCCAAGGATTTCCTCAACATAACTCAGAATTGATGAGCATAATAAATGATCATTGCTGAAACATTTTTTTTTGATGAATAATAATAAGTTTATTGATTCAGAAGCAAATTAGAGTGAGTTCATACATCATCCCAACGAGAGG